TTCATCAACATCGTTTTCAGTGGGTTGCACATCTTCGGTTACTGGTGTTGTATCTTGAACGTTATAATCATCCGAAGGCATTGGCTCAGAGTTGATTCCTTGATCTTCAACAGAATAATTATCGTTACTTCCATCGTTAACAACTTCTGGTATGTTTTCATTTCCTTTAACAGATTTAGGTTTTCTTGATTTCCTACGGCGTCTGACTTTACGTGGTCGTGGTTCTCCATTATTTATATTTTCACCAATATCATTTTCAGGTGAAGCTGCTGGCGCTTCAAGTGCATTCTCAGGATATTCAGATAATTCAGGTTGTCGTATCTCATTGTCGTTATCTATGGGTTCACCATTTTTAGTTTCTGGTACATTATCTTCAACGTTATTGCCATCCGAAGGCATATTCTCAGAGTTGACACCTCGTTCTTCTACCGGATAATTATCGTTACTTTCATCGTTAATAACTTCTGGTTCGTTTTCATTTACTATATCAGATCTTGGTTTTTTTGATTTCCTACGGCGTCGTGGTTTTCCATTGTTCATGGTTTCACCAACATCATTTTCAGGTGAAGCTTCTGGCGCTTCAAGTGCATTCTCAGGATATTCAGTTAATTCAGGTTGTTCTGTCTCATTGTCGTTATCAGTGTGTTCTCCATTTTTAATTTCCGGTATTGTATCTTGAACGTTATTACCATCCGAAGGCATATTCTCAGAGTTGACACCTTGATCTTCTACTGGATAATTATCGTTATATGCATCGTTAACAACTTCTGGTTCGTTTTCATTTTCATTAACTGATTTAGGTTTCCTCGAATTCCTACGGCGTCGTGGTTTTTTATTGTTTAAAGTTTCATCAACATCTTTTTCAGTTGGTTCTCCATTTTCAGTTTCCGGTATATTATCTTCAACGTTATAACCATCCGAAGGCATAGGCTCAGAGTTGACGCCACGTTCTTCTACTGGATAATTATCGTTATATCCATCGTTAACAACTTCTGGTTCGGTGTTGTTTTCGTTAACATATTTAGGCTCTTCATTTGAATTTACATCTTGGACTGTTTGTGGAACAAGAATTGGTTCATCATACCCAGTTTTTAGTTTATTTTTTGAATTATCATTTTCTATGTTAGGTATAACATTATTATTGATGTCTGTATTTTCATTGTTTATTTCCGGCGTTGCAGTTTGCTTTTTAAATTTATCTTCTATGGAATCATATTCTGCAGATTCTTCGTAATTATACTCTGGATTCTTTCGATTCCTACGACGTTTTGGAATATATTCAGATGGACCAATAATCAAACCTTCATTTGAATCAATATTCCCTTTAATTGAATTAGATATTGGTTTTTCATCAAATTGGTCAGTTGAATCCGTATTTAGAGTTTTCAATTTGTCAACTTTATTATCATCTTCTTCAACTGTTTCATATTCTACTGATTCTTCTTGGTCGTACATAGGATTTTTTCGTTTTTTATGGGATCTTTTTTTTTTGTTATTTTTATTACCTCCTTCAATTTGTTCTTCTATATCCTTCGACTTATCTAATCCTTCGTTAGACTTTCGGTCTGGTTCATGCTCATTGACCTCTGTTTGTTTATTTGAATGATTGTATTCTGAGTTTTCTTCATTTTCTGATGGTTCTACATTTTCATGGCTTCTCTTGTATTCTTGGCTTTCTTCATATTTTGGTCTTTCTGAATCAGGTTCATTAATATTGTGGTCTGTTGATTCTACATTAGGTGTTAGGGGAGTCGCATTAATGTTTTGATCTATCACTGATGAAACATCCTTCTCTCCTTCACTTGTATCATATTTTTCCGTTATTTCTTGCCCATTGTTAGGATCCTTGAAGGAACGTTGATTGGGTTCTCCATTATTAGCTTCCTCTGATGATGAATCTTCTCCCATACTTTCTGCTGCTGGTATTATATTATCATTGTAGACACAATTCATTTTCTCATCATCTAAACTATTAAGGTTTTCATTTTCTTCCAAATCAACTGTTTCTCTTGTGATATTTTCAAGATCTTTATCTGCTACATAACCAACGGCTGGTTGTGTTTTTAAATCTCGAGATGTATTGGAATTTTTCTCAATAGACTTATTTAAATTGTTTTCGTCTTCTTCTGATACTTCGTATTCTTCAGATATTTCTTTACCATCTTTGGGATCTATTATCTTCCTGCGACGTTTCACTTTGGGTTTAACAGATGTACTTTCTTCATCATTTCCTTCTTGAGGAGCATGCTCTTCGTTTGAA